GAGTCTCCTGCCTCTGCCTCCCAAGTAGCTGGGACTACAGGCACCCACCACAACGCCTGGCTATTTTTTGGTTGCAGCCGTCGTTGTTTGGCGGGCCCGGGCTGGATTTGAACCCAGCAGTGCAGGTGTATATGGCTGGCGCCTTAGCCACTTGAGCCACAGGCGCTGAGCCTCAATTCACCTTTCAAAAATAATACATACATAACATTGCTTAAAATGTGTATATATTTTTTTGGCACCTCTGGTATTTTTTATTTTTGACTAGTTCCTCTGTAAATATCTAACATGCCAGGTAATGATTAGTGTTAAAAAGAAAAAGGATAAAGCCACAGAGAATGATAGAAGTATAGTGAAGAGTACATGGGTTGTTGGAGGAGGCCTCTAATTCTGAGATTCTGGAGGAGACCAATATATTGCACACAAAACAAGTGCTCATTTATATTTCTGCCTTGTAGCTACAGACTGCAGTACACAGAGTAACACTGGCTCGGACAGCAGTACCTGTGCTGTGTGGAAGTGCTCTGAAAAACAAAGGTATACAGCCCTTGTTAGATGCTGTTACCATGTACTTACCTTCACCTGAAGAGCGCAACTATGAATTTCTGTAAGTACGCAATCACATAGATAGAATCCTACACCATTGAATAAAAAAGTAGGCAAATAGGAGGCCTCATTTCATGAAAAGTAGTTAAATCACTGTTTTGGGGTAATAATGGTAAAGAATATTATTTCAAATACAGAGCTGTAGCAATTTTGACTTGCAAGAACATTTTTCATTGTATCTGGTAACCAGCCATGTTCATAGGTAGAGCTGAGAAGGTATGGCTTTTCACAATGTAAAGGTGAAAACACACTTTATAACCGTTGACTCTGCCATCCTAGCTTTAAAAAAAGTAGTATCCTGGGATGTTTGTTAAATGTTTTATAGATATATTCATCTAAATTTCAGGATTTTTTATAAACTCAAAATATTTTGTACCTATAAAGGTCATTGTTTTACTTTTGTAAAACTTTGTTCTTAAGTTAATAAATCCTCTAAAAGTGAGTGAGAGAACTGTGCAGAATGACAGAGAAGTGGACTTTAATATTGTTTTTTTTTTTGAGACAGAGCCTCAAGCTGTCCCCCTGGGTAGAGTGCTATGGCATCATAGCTCACAGCAACCTCTAACTACTAGGCTCAAGCGAGTCTCCTGCCTCAGCCTCCCAAGTGGCTAGGACCATAGGCGCCCGCCACAGCGCCTGGCTATTTTTTGGTTGCAGCCATCATTGTTGTTTGGCGGGCCCGGGATGGGTTCGAACCCGCCACCTTAGGTGATGTCTCTAAATTGGAGAAGCATCATGGTAAAGTGATCATGAGCACAGACTTTGTACTATGGGACTTATATTCCAGCTCTTCCAAATTGCTTAACATCTCATCTAGAAAATGCAAAGATAGGGCTTGGCGCCTGTGGCTCAAGCGGCTAAGGCGCCAGCCACATACACCTAAGGTGGC